AGTTAGATGCCAGCGCACTGGAAGTAAAGTACTAAAGTGTCACCATTTTGCTGTAAAAGCATTTATAGAATAGAAAGCACAGACTTATCATGGGAATGTGAAAAAACATGTTGGGGATCTTTATAGAAATCAGCATAATGCACTTCTCTGAAGACTTATGACTAAACAGGAAGGACTAATTTAAACAAATGTCTCACCCACTTTACAATCCAGCTTAAAATAGTTCAAGCGTCCTGAACATGGAGAGTGAGCACTCACTGTAGCACTTCATTTTAAAACCAAATTACTTACATTTTTTTTTTAAAAGAAGAATAGTTAATCATGCACTGTTTTCCTATTTGTTTTCCTGACACAGCTGTTTACTTTTTGTTTAAATTTCAATACTACATTCATTACCTTGGAAAACCAATAGTTTCTGAACAACTGGTTATTAAGTCAAATAACTGAACTGCAGAGCTGTTAATTGTTTGTAGCAAAACTGTACTCTGTTTTCTTTTACATGAGTGGAAATGACTTATTTCCTACAGGCTGTTTCTTTACCATTCTGTTATACTCTGTTATTCTTCACTCAGACAGAAACATGAGGCAGGACAGAATTCCAGACTTGCAGTTAAGTATTTTGAAAAAGTTGTCAGTAAACTGAACAACTGCCATCACCAGGCATGGACTGATTTTCCAAGCCAAAGTATTCTACAAAGCTTTACAGTCCAAATCCATTATGAGTGTGCACCAGCATCTGCCTTCACTGTGCAGGGAAGGGCTTTAATCCCATATAAAATCAAACAGGCCACTCATTTAAAGTTAAGCACTCGTGTAAGCGTGTCGATCATATGAAATAATCTTGTAGTTAAGATTTATTACTAGTATTTGCTTTTTATGGATGTATATAGTCACGTTTACTCATACATAACGTATAATACATCTGGGTATACAATGATGCATAAATTTAGGGGGGCTGGACTTCCGGCATATTCAAAATTAATATATAACCCACCAAGTTAACGCCCCCTTTGCTATTTTTAAGTTTTCAGTGGTATATTAAGTTGTCAGTAGCACAAAACATGAAATTTATGCAATTCAAGCATCTATTGCCTTTTACAAATTTATACATAGTCTCCTGTTTATTTTTTCTGATAAATGACACATACACGTCTAAAACACACTTCATAGGAATTAATTGTAGTCTGGTTATTTTTTTATTTAGAAATGTAAAGCTTCATATGCCATACACCAAAGACCATAACAGTAGGAAATAATTTCAGAGCATAATACTGACATTTTCAACCCTCTGGATCTTGATCTCTTTTATTTATATCATGGCTACCCTAGCAAGGCATAGGGCTTCATAAAGCATTTCATACCCATAATCTACTGAGGGAAGTTATTTCCCACTTTCCACTTATCTGGCAAACTAGTGGGTTAATTTAAGTATTAAAAAACATCACGGCTTAATTCAGCATAGTATCTTTCTTCCTATTTGCGACAGAAGCTGTAACAGGCATATCTTCACTTTTGCTGCCTTGCACAAACCAGTTTGAACTCCTAAAATTCTACCTATTACCCTGACAGGCAATCTGTGAGGACAGCCAGTCACGTTTCATCTTGCCTTCGTTTCCATGGTAACCAATACAGCCAAAGAAATGCATACAATACACCTGGATAGAACTAAACTAGTTGCATTTTTACTTTTTCCAATGCTTTTAAATCGTTAAATATTAAATGATGGGGGGACAACTAAATGGGTCATGGGATACAGGATATGGAGTATTTCTCCCCTAGATTATCCATTTTGTGCTTTACTGACTTCAAGAGGAGCTTCAAGTGCTTTGCTTCTCTCAGAGTTTGGCTGTTAAGAATCAGTATAGAAGAGAGGTGCCCAAACACACCCGGAGCCCTGGGCAGAATCTGGACTCTGGGGCCCACAGCAGCCCCATGTGGCTGCCATGCTATCAGTGGTGGATCTGGCAGTAGCAGAGATGGCAGCAAAGGATCTGGGGGCAGTGAGAGGTCCTGTGGCAGAGATCTGCCAGCAGTGGTAGCGAGCCAAATTCACCGCTGACTGCCAGTGCCAGAGGTTTTTACTATTTTCATAATACCACACATGATTTATGCAGTATCGGAGACATGCAGAACATGTCTTACACAAACACGGTTGCTACTCAAAGGAGTTTATAATCAAAGATCCACTTTCCTTGCCAATGTACCAAGTGACTTCAAAGCACCAACAGAGAACCTGGTGCCGTCATTATACATGCCAAGTGGAGATAGTTGATGGAAGAACGTGATGAGGGATGGTACAAGGTGTACAAACAACTGATATTATTTATTAAATAATAAAGTCATATAAATAACACTAAACACATTTGTAGCATTGGTGTGTAACACTTTCCAACCTTATCCCCAAAGTTGTACCTTTTCCCTACCTTCCTTTTACCATTAGATACCCTAAACCCACTAAACTACCCTGTACAAATTAAACACTATTTAGGGAAATGTTGTTTGTTAGAGGTTCAGCACTCAAATCTACACTCTTTGGTTGATAGTGTGCATCAAGTACCACATCATGAAGGAACAGTTATTGTCCTAAACATATTATAGATGTATTCACAAAAGAAAACTGCAGAAGGCACCTAATCCTTTTAGTTCACTTCTAAAAGTACAAGGCATACACTGCTGTGAAATGGCTCGTATAGGGAAGACAACTTTATTGATATTTTAAATGTATGCAGCCATCCATTCTATCTGCTGGCATACAAATACATTCAAGGCATAAAATTGGGGTTATTTTAAATTTACGATAACGATACATTATTTTGTACAAATGTTATTTTGAGATGTAGTATGATCATTTTTATTAACTGGAAATGTAGTATGGATTACTTAACTACAGCTATTGGCTATGGATTACTTAGCTATAGCTATTGGCAATCCAATATGCAGGATTCTGCCAGAGACTGAAACCTGCAATTTAAGCAGGAATTGCAGGGCTCTGATAATTTTGTTATCAATATATTTCCTATAGCTTTGACAGGATGTTTTCTCTGCTACTCTGGGATGGCTGTTTGCTGCCACTGTCACAATGTCATCAGCTTTACTCCTCCACCATCCCTCCTCCCCTCGCTATAGTCTTATAGGCTCTTTCCTGCCTACCAGTTTACCAAAACCTTTCCTAAACCTTACCTAAAAACATTTAATAGCACATACTAGATGTGTGATGTTCACAAGCCATCACATTATCCACTTTGCTTACATGATAATATCCGCTTCCCCTATACTTTGTCTGTCTTGTCTGTTTAGACTGTACTTTTACAGTTACTACTATAGTTACTTCGTACAGTGCCTAGCACAATTAGACCCTGTTCTTGGTTGACCCCTTGTGACATAACAACAATAGTCCTCTCATTCCTATTTCAGGAAATACAAAAATAGTAGAACCACATTTTCACTGCACAGATGTTTTTTCTTCTTTCTGTGGGCCTCTGGTCCAGCACTGGAAGCGAGGGAAAAGCATTAATTCTTTAAAACAGCCACAACCTGTCCCACCAGAACAACTGTGGACTCGGACAGGTTGTCAGTTACTGGGCCTTGAAACAAGAATGCCATTGCTTTACCTGAACTTGATGCCTCTCCTGACGTCACTCAATGGAGTTAAATGGAAAGGATGTTCAGTACTTTCCCCTTTGAAGTTCACTGTCTAACTCTTATCCAGTGAATAATAACCTCAGACTAGCAGTACTTTTTTGGCACTAGCCCAGGTTTAAATATAGTGAATTCTAGACAGAACTGTACATAATTTGCAGCTGCAGTTCCCATACATGCAATGAAAAGTAATCTGTTAATAACTGTTACATCTCCAAAGGAAAAAAACCCCCTGTAATGTGGACCATAGCAGGGTTTTAAGTAACTTTAACAATGTAAAATCATGGGTGTGTATCACTGTACACCTGAAGCAAAGCAGTTTTGAAAATGAAAGCAGTTTTGAAAATCTGCATGGTTATGGGAAAAACTGGAGTAGAAAGAGGATTCATAATAAGAGCGCTGGTGCTGTAAGATTTACTGACAGCTATTAAAAAGACGACAGCCCTACTCCTGCACTGTGAAACAGAGCAAGGCTACAAGAACCTAGTTCATTCATGTTTTTATTCCTCAGTTTAAAAGAAACAAAGTAGGTCGGTATAGGATCCCTCTATTATATACATTCAGTTTACCTAGCAGTATTTGTTTATTACTTGAAATGACCTGATTTTGCCTATGCAAAAGCAAAGACAGAGCATTATAATGACACGGAAAAAGTGGAGGTTTTGTTCTTTCTGCAATAACATTTTATGACATATACCACATTATTTGAAGATTTCCACAGCATGAAGCCATAACTGGTCACTGATAAAACTAAGTTAGTACTTATTCAACTCTGGACATAAGAGCTCCCCATTAACCTGTTTAACAAATTTGGTCATCATCCAGTACCTCTTGCCATGACCGTACAAAAATGATTGCCGTGATAACTCAGACCATAAGCAAACATGCATGCACTCCAGCAGGAACTTTAAATCATGATCAATAGGATATTGCTGAACAGAATGGTCTCCAAAGCCAAACTTGGGGAACATTTTCAAAACTGCCCTTAATTAGAGCCTGGTTTGCAACCCACAGGAATCTCATTTGCCATGTTTTTCAGCAGGCTTTGAGTCAGGCAATTGATGCCCCCATGAAGACAGTCCTAAGGTAAGCTATCATGGCCCATCTAATGCTTTGAACATAAGCTATCATTTTGAAACCATTTAATTTTCACAGAAATAACAGTAAGTTTTAGTTGCTTTAAAACAGGACAAATCTGTCATATTACTTCATATGACAATAGTTTCATCATCATATCCGAGTGAAAGGAAATGCTTCTTGCTCAAAACATATACAGAAGCACACAACACGGTCACAACTATGCAGCATAAGTGCAACATGTGAACGAATACAAATTATTAAAAAATATCGAAGCGTCTCACCTAACTGCAGTACCATGGCTGCGTCACTGAATGCACGCGTCACCAATCTGAAATGTCTGTAGAGCGGGTAACATAAAACTCTTCTTCCGAAGGAAACCAGAACATCAGGAATACTACTGAAAGTCTGCACGCCAATGAAATTGTTTAATTTAATTGAACAGAAATGAACACAGCTGCATTTTGAAAAGCGTTTTAAAAGAAGTCATACACAAAAAGCCAGTACTTTTAACAGAGATGGAAAACACCAGGTTAATTTTAAACAGCAACAAGACCTTGTACTTTCAAATTGCACGGCAGGGTTATAAAAAAAATGATCCATTTTAGTAGTTTTGAATAAAAATGAATTTAGCGAATATTTCAATAAAATATTTAACTCAAGTTTTTGCCATTTTTTTAGATTAAGTTTTAGATCTTCCCCTTAATATTACATATATTAAAGCAAACCTATAAAAAGCCTTGTAAGAATAAATAAAAATTAAAAACATGTGATTTTAACAGAATACACATGCACTTGTAAGATCTTAAAAATGATACATGACTCTGCCTTTCAAGAAAGTTATGGATACTGCAGATAGGCATAAATATATCTCCCTTGGGAAGGCAGCTCATTGTCCTCCTTTATGAGTGAGGAAGACCTCTAATTTACTTAGGCCAGAGGCCTTAGAGAATTATTAAAGACTCTCAAGACTGATTTCCTTTCTGTCTTCTACCTTTCAAAGATAAAGCATTCCATTTATTAATTTTAAAAAAAGAAAACCTGTTTCATCTTGAATTCACAATTTATTAAAATTAATAAAGAACATGATGCTGACAACACAGTATTTTTGGTGTTATATGAATGCTGCAACTTATTTTTCATTTTCGAGGTTACTGATAAGCATTTTAATCATTTACATATTGATATTTATTCAGTCATAAGGTGTGAGCATCACACAGAGCAAAATGGCAGCCAATTTAAACTATATCTGAGGCAGCCCAGGTAAAGTACTGGACAGGGATGAAGGGGTTGGAAGACAAGAGTTGAGGCCATCACTGCATTTTTAACTTCACCATTTGTGACTAATTCTGCAATTGGCTACTTGACATTTTTTTAAAAATGCATAAAACAAAGTCCAATCCTGAAAACCCAGGACTAAGCCAGCAGTGCCTGCCACTATGACAAGTGAATCCTTGGAAGTGTTTAAAGGATTGGGATCTAAAGTGGGCCTACGTCTTCAAACTGCCAGTCTGCAAACAGAGTTACGAACAAGCCCTTCAGCTCCTTCAGGCATGGTTAGTTCTGTAGGGCTAACAGGGTCTGAACAAAATGGAGGTTTTGGGTCCACCTGTATAGCTTGGAGAGATGTTGGACCAGCTTTTGGCCACAAAGTACTTTTCCATGGCTGCAGCAGCACCCCAACCCTATTCTAAAAAAAAATGAAAAAATACCCACAGTTGCAGCTTAAACATGAAGGGCAGCTGTGACAACCACTTAGACTTGCAAACAACTCAAAAACAATAACTCGAATGAAACTACTCCACGCTGATCAGTCAGGGTCTTGTGGACTCCGCAATTCTGCAATTACAGAATGTGAAATTTTTTTCTAAGCTCTCATGAAATTCAATCTTTTTCATTAATCTGGCCGCTCTGCTACAGCCAAGAACCTACAGCCCACTACCAGGCTGCAGTTGCTTCTGGATTCCTGTCTCCCCTCAAGCAGGGAAAATTAGATGACCATGCATGCTGTCTGACCTATTCCTTGAAGCCAAACAGCAGAGAACAGGGAGCTAGAACCCAATTTGCAGCTACGTTACAAAGAGGGAGCCAAAAAAAGAAGCTCATGCACTAGGAAACCTGGAGAAAAAGCCTGGAAGCCATGGTCCGGAGAACTGACATGATGATCTGCTAAAAGGGCTACAAGGCCCCGCAAGCCCTAGCACAAATTATTATTTTATTACAGAAGAACATGACAGTAGGGCCTAAAGGCCACAGTTAAGTTGGACCCCATTTATGCTAAACACCTTATGCATACACAAAGGTGGCCCTGAGCTAGAGAACCTACAAAATTCATGTTCTCTCAGAGGGTCTTCAGGATGAGAGAATTTTCTAGCTGAAAAATACCTTTAATTTCATGCACAATTTTTCATCTTTATTGTTTGTTAATTCAGTTATTCATTTAAAAAAGGGATTTCCAGTCACCAAAGCAAGTTTGCATGATACTAGGATTTGCACACAGAAAATACTGTGCTATTTGTTCCACCCCCTGCCATTCTCCCTGACTTGGATTTCCCTGACAGAAACAGAGCCATTCTAAATAATAAAATTTAGCTACAGAACAATTTCAAAGCAATATATATTCAGCACCCCTTTAAAAAGGGAGTACAATGCATGTGAAGATCAGCATGGCAAAGATCATTAGAATAATCCTTTCTAAAATTAATTGCCCTGGAAGATAAAACCTCTTGCCAGTTTTAAAGCTAATGTTAAGACACATTTGAAAGGTTCTGATCGACAGCTGCTGTCTTAACATCCAGCACTACATTTTGTCAGTAAAATAAAAAATATTGTCTCAAGCTTTTGTTCAAACAGCTGGAATCTTAACGATCATTTTCTAATGATATGCATATAGTTGCCCACAATAGGCATTTTGCTAAAACATCAGCATATCACAGTATAAAGATGGGAAAAGAACTACTCTTTTTTTCATTTCTCTTTTTTCATAACAGGAAGCAAAATCTAAGTTCATTCTTACCATAGCTTCATTATAATAACTTGATTGATATATGCAGAAGCCACATCCAACCAGACAAAATGTATTTGTTCAAAGAAAAAATGGCTTCCTGGGGGAAGAATGATATAGCTAATGCTCTTCAGAGTGACTGTCTAGTTCATGAGAGCAAGAGACAGCATGTCATCTTATGCTGGTTTACTCATGATCCCATAGAGCCAGGTGGCCAAGAAATTTCATTCACTTTCTCTAGACTCCTGTTGCTCTTGTATACTATAGCGTTTCATCTTGTGAATATTACACTTTGCTTCATGGTGGTTAACACTTTATCAGATACCTGTGCAGTCTAAAAATCCCCCAAACATTAGCCTGGATTTACATAATGCACTTCCTTAAAAAAAAAAAAAATCATTCTTAAATAAATAACCTTGTACTATACTCAGTTTTGGAAGTTATAATAAGTAGTTACACAACATGTTTAACTTCTTTTAGAATTAATTTAAAATGGCACATACGCAAAAGAAAATACAGAGAATGCATCTACAGTAAATGAACGAGTAAAGCATGAGTTACAGGAACAATACCAACGTAGGACCTGAAAATTCCCTTACCTCAAGCCAGCACAATGTTGCACTTAGTTTTCTGATACTCCAAGGTGATTCAACCTGATGGGGAAAGGCAGGGAGAGGGGAGGCGGCAGGGGTGACGACATAAATATTATTTAATCCAACTTTCCAAACTGCCAACCAAAACTTTGTGGACGACAGTTTAAAGCTGCAAAGTTTAGGAACCTTTATGAATATGAAACATTAATCACATTATGGTACTGAAACGCCACAGGACAGATTTCAACACAGTATCCTGTTAAATTATTCAAGTATTGTTCCCTATTTGGAATGTTTAGCCTGTGCCTAAAAAGTCTTTAAAATGCAACTGCATTTTAGTAGGATGCTGTCTCTCCCACGCACACTTTTTTCAAGGAACTAACTGCAGCTTGAATCTGTCTTCCCAATGCAACAATACAGCACAAATTAAAATGCCTGGGTTCCTGAAAACTGCTCAAGGATTTTGGCATCCAGATGTGGGGAATCCTAAAGGCAGCAGTACATGCACACTGTAGTAATTTTTTAAATCTGGCAGGCTCATGGGATTTGCAAGGTAGAATGGTTTAGTGGATTGAGAATGGCTATAAGCCAGAAAGCCTGAACCATAATCCTGACTCTGACAAACATCTGATTTGTGGCCTTGGGCGAGCCATGTAACTGCTGAGTATCTCTGTTCCCATATTTTAAAAATTAACATAACAGCATTTACTCATCTATCCTGCACGGCTGTTATGGGGATGAATTAATCCACGTTTGTCGAGAACAATGAAAACAAGAGGTGATATAGCAGCAGTGTTGGTATAAGCACAACCACCACTTGAACTGAGCAGACCTGAAAAGTTCTGCCCACAATTCTCACTTCTATCCCTCAACACTCGCCCCAACCCAGAAGGATGGGTTATCTGTTGCAATCAGATGGGGAAAAAAAAAAAAAGAAAGAAAGAGAAGTAACAGTCCTCAGAAAGTAGCACAGCCAAGGACTTTGCTGGACAAAGTAGAGTACTCAGACACTCTGCACACAGACCTTGACAAAGAGATCAAGGCATTCTTGGGGAAAGTGGACTCCACTAAAATATAGCTTGAGCAGGCTAGGCTCTGGTTTTCTAGTTTTCCCACAGTACACAGTGAACTCTAGGAAACACAAGGCAAGTCAGAGCAGATAGGTTTATGGCTACTTTTACGCAGGTGAATAGACAGGCGCCATAATATCAGAGACTAAAAGAAGCCTTAACTTTCCTCCTGCCCACCTGTTTGTACTGAACTATGGGTAAGAGACTTGGGCTGTTTTATGTGGCAGCTTCTAATGCTTTTGCTATTATTCACAAAATGTTTCCCTACCCATTTTCCAACGCCCATGACCCATGTTCAAAAGGATTTTAAAATAAAACTGAAGCAGATACAGTTTCAGAGCTCTGAAATTCCCTCCATGACAGATTCAAGTCAAAGTGGCAACTGCTACAGAACACCAGAACAGGGGTAGGCAACCCCTGGCGCACGTGCCAGAGCATGGCACACGAAGGAATTTTGTTTGGCACGCACACCTTGGGGCGGATGATGGGGAAGGGGCTAAGGCTGCGCTGCCACAGCAAGGATCGGGCTCTTTGTGGCTCCCCGGCTGCCTGCCCCTGACATGTTTTTGAAGTGGAGGTTTTGCGTTTCTGGCACTCTGTCCAAAAAGACTGCCAACGACACACTAGAACTTTGTTCTCCAGGCCCATCATGCTTTTCCTACCTAGTCACTATGTATCTACACAAATAGTGCTGCTGTTACAATATACATTTCTATTATAAACAAATCCAGACAAAACGCACACAAAAAATTAAAACCAGTATAAAAAAACCACTACATAGACAATCAAATCATAGCAGCAACCCAGGAAATAATCTGAAGCATTTTGTATCTCCTGCACTCCCTTTCGCTTCCTCTTCCCACAGCTAAAATTATGTTCCAGAGCTATAGTACCAGTATAAAAATCTTTTTAGAACGGTACCAGTTGCCACCCCACAGGCTAACTTGGAGGAAAAAAAAGTTCCAGTCCTTCACTTTAATTTACCCACCAACCTTTATAATGCTGGGAACAAAGTTCACTTTAAAAGCCATGCCTCCCAGGGAAAAGCACAATCTCTTATAGCTGAGCTGCTAAGCCACTACAAAAGTTTCATTAAAAAAAAAGTACTTACATTCTTTTCTCCTCCAGTAACACAGACTTCACAGCAATATGCCAGAAGGATATCAACTAAGCTGAGATACACTTGATGACAGGTTCTTTTATCCAGCAGGTAAGATTTATTTGTGAATTTTCTTAGCTGCTCTTTCTCTTCTTCTGAAAAGACGACTGCAAGAAGCAAAAAGAACAATTACAAAAATTAAAACTGAAATGTTCATTTTTAACAAGTGGCACCATGACTTCCTTCCACCAGCCCATAAAAGCAAACAAAATTAATCACAGATTTAAAATTATGTACCTTCCGGGGAAAAAGCCTAAATCATTTTTACTTCCACTATTATCAATATTTTATTCAACTTTTGTATACTCTTAGTGGCAAGTCCCAATTCTGCAACGTATTCCATATAGCTAGAATCTTGCACATATTAGAAACCCACTGAAAGTGATCTGTGATTTTTGAAGTCTCCGATACAGAAATTAACGTAAGATCAGTCTAAAAGATAGTGCAGAAAAACTTCTGAAGTCATCATCAAAGAGACCAGAAATCAGAACTCTTGGTCCAACGGCAAGAGAAGGAAAACAGAATATTTTCCCTACTGCAGGATAGGAAAGGAAGGAGAAAAAGTAGCAGTAGAGGAAGGGGAATAATTTAAAGTTATGAACATGTTTTAAAGGCAGCACTGGTTGTACTGGCAGATGATATCCTCCTAGCACCAGATGAAAGATCAGTGTGGAAATCCTGTCCCCACTGAACTCAACTTCAGTCCTTGTTCATGATAATTTTTGATCTGACACTTATTTGCAATACTTGTGTTCTTGACACTGCAAGCCACCACGAGGTCTGATGAGGTTGTTTCTAGAGGGCAACTGTCCTTTTTATCTGAGGACTTCTAAAACATAATTCAACTATCAGTCTTCCTGTTCATTTTTTGGGGTTATGAGGAGGTTTTGACAGGAAGCCATGGGACATAGTAGACATTAAACCCAGGTAAAATTGGGCAGTTAATTAGCAGTAAGTAGGCAGTAAGACGAGCAATTACAAAGCGAAGGAAGACTTGGAGGAGATTATACTGGCTTCGTTGAATAAGGGCATCTGTGACTTGGCTGCACATCATGTGGACCTTCTGGATTCCCCAGCTCCTGTCACTACAGAAAGCAGGAATTGCCAGCTATTTCCATTGCTTGGAAAAGTCACGGTTGTTTTAGATTCAGACACTGGCTAAAAAAGCCCAACATGGAACTGATCTAAGTTACACAGGTTTCTGAAAGTGGCGTAGTTTAGATAGGCAGTGCACACAACACACATTTGCCCTTTGGTCAGGAAGAAACAAATCTTAGATTGGGCTCTGCCATTTTTAAACCAGGCTACGTGTGCCACACTTCTGGTCTGTTATGCGTATAGATCGATTCTGTATGCTGAACTTCTATTCTGTTATGGGTGTAGACTAGTTTCCAGTCACTTATACCAGAAACAATGTAATGTCTCTACGTAGCCATTGTCGAGGCTAACTGCAGAGGAGTTTTAGTACAGATTACCAGTGCTTGTTATAGAGCAACAAGGTTCTTTGGGTAAATGTGGTATCTTTTATTAGACCAACTAATAGTTGGAAAAAGTGTTCTTTGCAAGCTTTTGGGCACAAGCACCCTTCTTCAGGCACAGGGAAAGTCTGCTGGTGTTATGTGTTCTCCACAGTAGAACAGAAGCCTTAGACCAACATGGCTACAACTAACACCATTTCTTATAGGGCTACATTTTAAGGACACTCATGATATGCAACTAATGCAAGAATGAGACTACCTGCTTACACATTTCCAGGAATGAGCATTTTACAGTTTTATGACTTGCATGAACTGTAGTTTAAGCTACTGACTGGGGGTTTTAAAGGGCTAAAATGTTTGGGTCCTAATTATTTGAAGAGCTATTTCTGCCTTTCTATTAGTGTTACAGTGGCAACTTTCTGAGGTTTCAAACTAAAGGTGTCCTGGTGACAAGATGCTTTCACAAGCTATTGAACTCTCCTCCCTGTTCAGACCGATGCAGATTAGATTTGATCATCTTTGGTATGCGTCTCAAAGCTAATTTACCTCCCAGATTTTTTCCAGAATGAAGGAAAGGAGACCAATTAGCATTGGAGGCAGTAAAAGCAGTTCATTTTGATGGGTTAGGAGGTCCATTTATCGTCATTTTGTCCAAGTGATTTTTGATTGTACATGAAATTATTCTTCTATACCTGAAGAGTTGTTACAGGCACTTTTACAAATATGAATGAGTAAAACCTACCCACTCTTCAATTTTATTCCAAGAATAGCTATGAATAAACCCACTTACTTCCTATTGGCATTTTTACAGCAATAAATCATCCATTTCAATTAGCTGTGGGAAGTCAAAGATTAAGATTTTTTTGGGTCCTACAGATAGATGAAACGTCATATAAAATCTAGGGCTGTCAATTAATCACCATTAAAGTGTGCAATTCACACAAGAACCAGTTAACATGTTATTTTTTTTAATGTGTTAATCACACACATGGTTTTGGAGCCTGCACCCGGGCTCTGCTTCGCCACTGTCACCACTGACTCTTGAGTTGCCCAGCAGGGCAGTGCTGGTAGTGCAGAGGACCACACGACAGTCCGGCTGCGGGCTCCAGGCTGCTGCAGCAGGGAAGCGGGGGGGACATGCGTAGATACAGGCGCACAGACACAGACGCAGCTTACATGCAGCCAGGAATGCAAACCAGCAGGTGTAGAGCAGCACCCAGCAGGTAAGTCTGTAGAGGGGAATGGGTGGGGGGCAAGGGGGTGGCAGATTAAGGCCCACATGGTGAGGGAGGGAGTGGGGCAGGGGCGAGTGGGGCCCCAGAGCCAGTCATGGGATGGCGCTGTGGGCAGCTCGTCCAGGGACGTGGGCACAGCTCCTCCCTGCTGCACACACCCACAGGAAGACATGTGCTCCCCAGATTTGTATATGGGGCAGAGGCGGGCTGTCCACTGGGGCTGGGGCTCTCCACCCTGCTGCCTTTGCTCCAGGTGCCATCAGGATGCATTCCTGTAGGGTTACCATATTTCCAGTTTCAAAAAAGTGGACACCTGGGGCAGGGGGTAATATGATTGCAGGGGGGGGGAGGGACAGTGATATGCCCATGCCCTGCCTCT